GATCTGCCCTTGGGACTTGTTTTAGTCCCTAAGGAATCGATCAATTAGAAAGAAGACTCCGACTTGGCCACAATCAAAGCAAGGGAAGCTTTCCAGTTGCCCCCTCAATGAGGCAGCCTTGTCGCCAGCCCTTGGCTTCAAAGCATTCCAGAGGACTTCCCCCGCGCAAGCAACCAAATATATTCCCGCCAACAGGAACCCGCCATTGCAAACACGTTCAGAACCAGCGACAATCATCCTTCTAGATCGGAGAAGACACATTTAAAGACAACTAGAACCAACACAATCAACCACCGCACCGAAGATTGGAATGAAACACATTTAGAGTAAATAGAAGAATAGAATTGGGAGCCATACAACCAACAAACCCAACGGTCTTAGTGATTACCTCGTATCTATAGCTTTGGACGCATTTGACAAATACCCTTCGCCAAATTCAACAGCCCTTCAATTTGGCGAAGGGTATCTTTTCGACCTCACCCATGAAGTTGCCTTTCTTAGGAAACCCACACATTTTGTGTTTGTGCATCATTATAATTCCTTTGACTAAAGCACTGCCTTTTACTTCCTTTCGTGTTCGATCCATTCCTTGGTGTTGTTCCTAGCCTTAGACCACTTAAATGTGTTGGTGAATCATTTTGACACAAAACCCTGATGGTCTAAATCTGCCAGTTGGGATTGGTGGTTGAGCCCATTTTCGGGGTTTCTATCCCTGGTGCGAATTGGGCTTCCACTCATCCAGTAAAACGGCTGACGGCTTCGCACCGCTTCTTCTGGCAGGTGCTCCAGATGGCCGCGGAGAGTCTGAGCCGCTGCCCCGGCTCTGGCGCCTCGGATAGTCCGCGGAGACGACGTGGCCGAAAACGGGGGGGGGACGGTTCTTTGGTAAGAATCGGGCCCCTGTGGTTTCCTTTTGGACCCGACAGGGGAAACCAAAAGGAGACCCTTGCCATGGTTTGGAAATGAACACCTTTGAGAAGCTTTCCTTTAAAAGGGCATGGCTCTGAGAGAAGCCGGAAAGGAAACTTCAAGTCCGAACTTCGTTTTGGGGAAGCCTGAGCGTTTATTGCCTAGGGATTTCGAGGATGGCCTTTGCCCTGAATTTGCCAAGTATATCCTTGGCAGACTTTCGGACCCCCTCAAACATCCAATCTACAAGGCTTACTCCTGTCGCACAACACTCGGCTGGCTTTCGCAGGGTTGACCTTTCGAATCAAAAGTTTGAGTTTAACAACCTGTCTTGTAGTTTGTGGCGTTCGCAAGGTGCACCTTTCGCGGACGTACCATGTCGGTGGCGCAAAGCAAGACACAAACAACATCTTGCAAGCTTATGTTGCACGGTGACTATAGTTTCACACTATTTGACAATTCCATCCCGCGACTTTGCCGGCAAGTATTTTACCACGTTTTGATTATGACTCACGTGGCTTCGGAGGCTCTCCCAAATAAAAGGCAACTCCACTTTCAGCTCGTCGGTGCAGTTCCGGTCGCGCTTCATCGCAGACAAGTTGGGCACGTCCCTGTCGTTGCATTTAGCAGAAACATGGCACAGCACGGCGTTGTTTCACTGGTACTCCACAGGCACCTTTGCTTGGCGCCTCATGGCTACCTAAGAGGGGGACTCTGTGCAAGGCGCGTTTGCGCCGCAGCAGTTGGTGGCAATCCTGCGCGCTGCAGTTGACACTGAAGGCAGGGACCGAAGGTTTCGGTTCGGATGCACAGCATGCATGGAACGATTCACGGGTCATCAACGCGAAGAAAACAGTATGTTGAACAACATAACATATCTATACGGTATCAATCTGTACATACAACATTTTGTTCCGCCATGAAGGATTCCAGGAGAGAATGGGGAAGTCGTGTGACTAAAGTCATGATGTAGCACCGTGAAGCTCGTGGGCGAAGGATGCTGAAGGCGGGAGCTGCATTGAGGCTACCCCAGGCTTTGGCTCTTGTTGGTGCAGCTGCCCATGGCCAGATTTGGGTTTGGGGGTTGTCTCCCAACCGCAGATTGCGCCATCTCGTTTGGGGGGTATCTACCTACCCACCCGCCTACCCGCCTTCACAAACGAAGCTGTTGAAGGGAATAATAGTCATCCTGCCTACACAACTTTATATTCTTGTTGTTGGGGGTCTCTCATGAGGCGACCTCTTGGAAGACTGCCTGGAGCCAGCCGCCGGGCAGATACGCAGTGGCCGAGTCGAAGCCGAGCAGATCTTGGGATGTTGGATGTTGGGGAGCCGCAGAAAGTTGGAATGTAGGGATTGCTGGGAGTGTTGGGGAAGTTGGGATGTTGGGGGTCGGGGGTGTAGTTGACCTTGGGCCCCCGAATGGTGGAATTCCCCAAACAGGGTCCCGTGATCCGCCAATTTGGCTTAACGTCCATTTCCTTTCGCTCTTACTTGTTTGTGAACCACAACCGAAACCATGACAAAGTAACGAGGGCACAATGGACTTGGGAGCGGGCACCCTCTGCATTCGTTTGGGGCTTCATTTTTCTTTGGATGGAAAAAGGTTTATTATAGGCGCTAAGAGCCTTTGAGCCACCCTGTAGCGCAGGCATACATGTCGGTTTTGGGGCACATATTTTGGAGGCAAGCCCATTCAACCCAGTTGTTCTGTGGCACCCTTTCTCTATGTTTGTTACGTCAATTCCCTACTAAAAAGCTACTAAAAAGCATCATCCCCGAAAAGAGTCGATTTCATTGTTCTACTGCCCTTGTCACTGAATGCAACTGGGTAAATGCAAAAGACAACATTAAAACCCTCAAACCCTACCTTTGCCCGCATGTTTGGCGTTTGCTGCACCGTATGCTTGCATTTGTTTAGCGCATCCGTTTCCCGTCAGCGTTTCGAGGTCTACTTCTGCGTGACGCATCGACCCATGGACAGCGAGATGTCGATCTCCTGCCTGGCAGAGCTCTTGGATGCGACCACTGCGCTGGCACGCCAGGCCTCCGCTAAGCGACGCGGCAGTAGGCATCATAGCTTTGTAGGTGCTCTCTTAGGTTTGAATGAAGATGGCACTTCCAGGTATGTGCGAATCTCATCCCTTTTCCAGAAGGACACCTGGGCACAGATTCTCCCACTCACGTTTCCATGGAACTGGAACCTACTTGCCAGAGGCTTCCTAAGCCTTCCCCACAGGTTTTAATGCGCGCCCATGTCACTGTTTCTCTGCGTTTCGTTTTGAGTTGTGTACAAGTTTGTCTGACTGTTCTTTTCCGAGGTGGGCAACAACTTGGGCCATGGCTTCATCGTAAATTCCGGCCCAAAACGAACCAACAAGCCATTTGTCGACACCATTGCTCAGCTGCACGTATTGGTGGCTGCATATAACACATATTAAGAGTATTACATACATTATATATATATATATATTGTATATATGTATATATTCTGTGTAATATGTAGATACGTTATGTTACATACGAACAATTATTGTGTATGTATATATATATATATATACATATACACGATCCCCCCGATGATCTACTTTTCCTGTGTAATCTGTACCATTTGCGGGCACAAATCAATTCCATGTCACAATGTGTCATGCTCCATCTGCAAGCCAAACAAGTCAGTGTCTTTTCCGTGTTCGTCTACAAGTCTAAAATAAATGCTTCCTGCTTACTAAGGTCTACTCAATTTCAATCTTTATTTTATTTGAGGACCAATCTAAAAAGGAATTCATCTTCAAATTCAACTCGCAAATAGCAATCCAGATAAAACTCCTTCCCCGTTAGATACTGCTGGAACTATTATTCAGTTGAAGTCATATTTGAAAAATAATACTTTTTGATCCCGCATTCATAACAGACAAGTTACCTCAGTTTCGTTCATATTTTGTTCAAAATCTAATTGCACCTTAGTTAAAGTCCTATTTGGCATAAGGAGCCTTCAGAGGAGCTTTGCAAGCAGATCATAGTTCTTGTTTGTGCTCTGTTCCATCTGCAAAAAATTAAGTCAACTCCATCCTATTTTAAAATTGAACTAGTAATATGATTCCATCGTTATTAAATTCTACTCAAATTCAATTTTAATTTAGTCGAAATCCTGTTGGAAAAGAACATCATACTGAGCTTCGAACTTAGAAAGAGTTACTCTGATTACATGTTTTGCCCTATTAAAGTCTACGAACAAATAATGTGAACATCATGATTGAACAGACGTTTAAATTATGATTGTTAAAGAACTTCTTTTGAGTTGGTTGTTTTATTGTACACATTACGTTCCATATTTTGTATGAGGAGCCTTGACAAGGTCTTGTAAGGAGCTTTATCAAGGAGCTTCATAAGAGGCCTTATAAGGAACTTTACAAGCAGCTTATGGATTTTTACAAGAACAAGGAGCTGAAGGAGCTTGTACGGATCTTTATATCTAGCCCTACAAGGAGATTGGTACGGAGCCTTGTAAGGAGCTTTAAAGGGAGCCTTATAAGGAGCTTTACAATCAGCCTTGTAATGAGCTTTGTAAGGAGCCTTACAAGGAGCCTTGTAAGGAGATATATGAGGCTTGGCAGCGGGTTGATTTTGCTTTTAAACACCAAGTTCTAATTCAACTCTATCCTTATTCATTCTATTTTGATTCTAATATTTGTTGAATCAAGCTCCTATTTGGTCAATCTAATCTAGTCTGAGGTCGCTGACTGCTGGTAAAAGGGTTCAGCAAAAGATGTTAATGCATATCGAAACAAGGCGTGTGCATGTATGGTCACATTCAGGGAGCAAATCTCAATAAACATGAGCAACACCCACAAACCAAAAACGCACTGTTTCGGAGGCTTTCTGTGCGCTTCAGAGGAAAAACCAAACCAACGCAACTTTTTTGATTTTGGGAGGGGTAATGCCAAGAATCCGCGAAGCTATCCAGACAGCTTCAAGTGCCACTTTAACACAAAATCCAAGGCCAACTTGGCCTTGTTTGCCATTTTTGCTTCAAGTGCCATTTTGCCCACCCACCCCAAACAATGTTAAGAGGCATCATTTTTTGGGGAACCTCCTTATTTGGTTCCATGCTAACTAGAAGAATATGTGCGTGGTACTAAGATAGAGCCTTGTCTCTGACTCGCAGGATGGCGGCTTGCTGGGGGCCCAACGATTTGGGCACATGTTTTCCACCCTTCCAAAGACCAACTGGTAGCTTAAGCCGGGTCCCTGTGCGGGCGGGTTTTCAAGGGAGACCAACAGGAAACCAGCGATTCTGATCTGCAAAGGCCCTCCCCCATGTGCTTTCAATCCATTGGTCGAAGTGTGGAACACATACTTAGATGCACGATGTTGCTTTGACAGCCCAGTGCTTCCAGGATGTCCAAGGGAAACCAGCATATAAAACCCAAAGGTAAGAAACCCTGGTTACCTATATACTGTAGTGAATGCAGTGGACACCGACCACCCTTTCTGCCAACCACAATTGCCGCAGGATTTGATGCAAGACTTCATGTCCGAAACTCTTGGCCAGATCATGGTCGACAGCTCAGCTCGCAGAGCCCAGATGACATTTTCGGGCTAATGATGCGCCCTTGACCCACTCAACTTTGGAGATGATTCCACTGCAAGCATCAGGGCCATTGTTGTGTTTGTGATTCAGTGAACGAGTCATGGCAAATTTGAGTTCAGCAAACTGATGCTAAGCCCAGGTGATGCTGTCCGACATTGTATGGTCCCGCGCACGCTCCCTTTGTGCCGGGGACGTCAGGGGAGGGAAGTGTTCGAAGAATGAGGCATCCAAGGTGAGTAAGCCGATGTTTTTGTGCAGCAGATGGACACTCCACTTCAAAGTTGAACCCATGAGAGCGTGATCAATAGCTTTCTTTGTGTGTTGTTCATCAAGATGACCAAGAGCCGCTTAGACTTGTTACGTTTGCCCTTTGCTCCGGAGAAAGTTGTGACAACCATGGTGGTTGAGGTGCTCCAACTTGTTGAGAACCAATCCCTGTAGTGTGTGGTATCTCTTCATCTGGAAAGGATTTCATGTGTTAAGAATCTTTGAGTTTTCCCGAAAGCATGGCGAAGGGTTCTTCCGCTGGGTTCACTTGAGTTGTTCTCATGAGAGTCATTACAAGGTGTCATTGCAAGGAGTCATGCAAGGAGTCATGCAAGGAGTCATTGCAAGGAGTCATTGCAAGGAGTCATTGCAAGGAGTCATTGCAAGGAGTCATTGCAAGGAGTCATTGCAAGGAGTCATTGCAAGGAGTCATTGCAAGGAGTCATTGCAAGGAGTCATTGCAAGGAGTCATTGCAAGGAGTCATTGCAAGGAGTCATTGCAAGGAGTCATTGCAAGGAGTCATTGCAAGGCAGTGCACTTGCAACTTGGCAGTGCATTGCACTTGCAGTGCACTTAACTCCGTGCACTTGCGACTTGCACTTGACTCCATGCACTTGGCTCCTTGCAACTTGCAATGGCTCTGCAATGACTCCTTGCAATGACTCCTTGCAATGACTCCTTGCAATGACTCCTTGCCTTGACTCCTTGCAATGACTCCTTGCAATGACTCCTTGCAATGACTCCTTGCAATGACTCCTTGCAATGACTCCTTGCAATGACCTGCAGGAGTGCAAGTTGCAAGTGCAAGGAGTCAAGTGCAAGTTGCAACCCTTGCATGACTCCTTGCAATGACTCCTTGCAATGACTCCTTGCAATGACTGCTTGCAATGACTCCTTGAAACAAGCAAGGAGTCAAGTGCAAGTTGCAAGTGCAAGGAGTCAAGTGCAATTGACTTGCGAGGAGTTAAAATCTCTTCTTAGGGCGGCGGGGTAGTGCCGACGACACTACACGAAAATCGACCCTCTGCGGGGATCGGCGTGGTCGAGGTGCAAAAACCCATGGTTTTTTGCGATTTCTAAAGTGCTCGCGCGACCCTCTGCGGGGATCGGCGTGGTCGAGGTGCAAAAACCCATGGTTTTTTGCGATTTCTGCGCTGCTCGCGCGACCCTCTGCGGGGATCGGCGTGGTCGAGGTGCAAAAACCCATGTTTTTTTTGCGATTTCTGCGGTGCTCGCGCGACCCTCTGCGGGGATCGGCGTGGTCGAGGTGCAAAAACTTTTGCGATTTCTAAAGTTCCCGCGCGACCCTCTGCGGGGATCGGCGTGGTCGAGGTGCAAAAACTCGAGGTTTGTTGCGATGTTTAACCTGCTCGCGCGACCCTCTGCGGGGATCGGCGCGGTCGAGGTGCAAAAACCCATGGTTTTTTTGATTTCTGCGGTGCTCGCGCAACCCTCTGCGGGAATCGGCGTGGTGGAGGTGCAAAAACTCGAGGTTTTTGCGAGTTTTGTTGTTCGAACTGGTCTTCGGGAGTTGTCTCGTGGTTCGCGCGCCTGCTCCCGGAACCGGCGGGTCGCGGGTTCGATTCCTCCCTGGTCCGCGGGCGGGCGTCGCAAGATGCAACTTGCATTTTAAAGCAACTTGCGCAGAGCAACTTGCGCAGAGCAAGTTGCACAGAGCAACTTGCGCAGACCAACTTGCACCGACCAGTTTGCGCAGAGCGCCTTGCCTAGAGCAACTTGCGCAGAGCAACTTACGCAGAGCAACTTGCACAGAGCAACTTGCACAGAGCAGCTTGCACAGAGCAACTTGCAGGGAGCGCAATTTGCACAGAGCAACTTGCAGGGAGCCACTTGCAGGGACCAACTTGCCGGAGCAACTTGCGCGGAGCAACTTGCGCAGAGCAACTTGCACAGTGCAACTTGCGTAGAGCAACTTGCGCAGACCAACTTGCACCGACCAGTTTGCGCAGAGCACCTTGCCTGGTGCTGTCTCGCGCTTGCTTCACGAATGCTTCGTGTAGGGAAAAAGAACGCATCCTGCAGCGTTGGGCCGACCTCGCTTGCGATGTTCTGCTTTCGGGCCAACCGTGGTCTAGTTTAATAGCTGTGTCTCCTGAAATCCATTATCTGTCTCTTTTCCTTTCTCATTAATATCCTTTGTCATTCTATTCTTGGCAACTATCACAAATTAAACCGTTAAGAAACAAATGGTTGGATTCAGAGATTAGGCCTCTCCACGGCTTCCTCCAAACTCTAGAAAGAGAGGAAGGGTAAGAAGATGTAAAGGCCAACTTGTTTTCGCACGTCACCTCAAGGGGATCTCAGTCCTTCGGCTCGAGCACTCTGTCCCTAGACAGGTACCTGTTCACCCCTTAGGTCTTTCTTAGATTCGTCAATGGAAAGGCCATTTTCTGTTTGGCCATTTCGCTATTGCCGTTTTGAGCACCAGCTTTGTCATTGCTTTTTGTCCAACCTGAGTGAGGGCCAGAAAGGCTAGACATGATGAGTCGATGACAGCAGCGGTTCGAATAGGCAAGCAAGGGAGGGAGGGAAGGAAGGCAGAAAGGAAGAAACCAAACAAGCAGTCAACCAAACCAAACCATGCCAATCCAAGCAATATCAAGCTAAACAAAGCGTGTGAGCAAGCATGAAAACAAACAAGCAGGCAAGCGTGCAAGCACGCAGGCACAGCAGAGACAAACATACTGAGACGCAGGGACACGACACGCAGGCAGAGCATGGACGGACAGACAGGCAACCAAACAACTAGACAACCAGACAGACAGAGACAGAGACAGAGACAGCGATAGACAGACAGAGACAGACATACATAGGCACAGAGACAGACAGGGGCAGACATACATAGGCAGACAGAAAGACAGATAGACAGACAGAGACAGAGAGACAGCCAGACAGAGACAGGCAGATAGCGGCAGACACAGGCAGACAAAGACAGACAAGAGACAGAGACAGCGACAGAGACAGGGACAGAGACAGAGACAGAGTCAGGGGCTCCCTTTTTTTTTCACCCTCCGAACTTGTTGTTTTAACCCTTCCTTTTTTTCAACCCTCAAACCCTGCTTGGGAACCGTCGGCGGGAACCTTGTGTCTCCAACCCTGAAAAATCCTTTCTTTTCAACCCCTCACCTTGTTTTTTTCACCCTCTGCCTTGTTTTTTTTCACCTCACCCGCGAGCTTGCTTGTTTCACCCCGCAACCTTGTTTTTCTCACCCTAAACCTAAAACAACCTAAGCCCGCCCCGCACCCAACCCAACCCAAACCAACCCTAGGCCCGCCCTAAGCCAAACCTTGCCAACCCTCAGTATCTCTAAGTCAATCTCAAACCAGCCAAACATGCCCAAACCCACCCCAAACCCACCCTACACTAAATCACGCTAAACGAGCCCTATGCAAACCAGAATCATCTTTTGTCCAACCCTAAACCCACCCCAAGCCAAGCTACACCCACCCTACACCACCACAGACCTACTCGAAACCACCCTAAAGCATACATAACCCGCCCCTAACCAATCCCAAACCGACCCTAAACCAACCCTAAATCAACAAACTAAACCAACCCTAAACCAACAAGCCAGTCCTGCACCCACCTTAAACCCACCCTACACGAACTCTAAACCCACCCGAACCTTGATCCACCCACACCTGAAGCTTAGCCTAAGCCAACAATAAACCCACCCTAAACCCGCCTAAGCCCCGCTCAAAACCAACCTGAAACTTAAACCGACCACAAACTTGCCCTTCCCATCCCAAACTAACCCTAAGCCCACCCTCAACACACCCTACCCCGCCTCTAAACCCTGCCTACACAAACCCTAAACTAGCCTTAAATGCGATGTTGCCCAACCTAAACCAACACAAAACCGACCCTAAACAAAACCGTAAATCCACCCTTCCCATCCGAAACCAACCCTGAGCCCACCTACCCCCCCCCCCCCCCGCCCGAACCCACCCTAAACAAACCCTAAATCCAAAACCACTCCTAAACCAACCCAACCCTAAACCGTTGCTTAGTGCAGTTGCCTCAAACTAAAAGAAATGGAGGGTTAAAAGGAAGAGGTGGAGGGTCAGAAAGAAAGGGGGGAGGGTTAAAAAAGAAGGGGGGAGGGTTTCAAAAAACGGGGGGAGGGTTAAATAGAAAGGGTGAAGGGTTGAAAAAACAGGGAAGGGTTGAAAGAAAAGGTTTGGAGGGTGAGAAAAAAGGGTTCCCCCAGAGTTCAGAGACAGACAGAGACAAGCGAACACTGCAACAAGCAAGCAATCAAGCCAGCTAGCTGGCAATCGATCAAGCAAGCAAACAAGCAATACGCAGGCAGGCAGGCAGGCAGGCAGGCAGGACAGGACAGGACAGGACAGGACAGGACAGGACAGGACAGGACAGGCAGGCAGGCAGGCAGGCAGGCCGGCAGGCCGGCAAAAACAAAGGACAAACAAACACGCACAAACAAACACGGACAAACGAACGGACAACAACAAGCAAACAAACAAACAAACAAACAAACAAACAAACAAACAAACAAACAAACAAACAAACAAACAAACAAACAAACAAACAAACACACAAGCAAGCAAACCAACCAACCAACCAATAAACAATCAAACAAACAAACAAACAAACAAACAAACAAGCAAACAAGCAAGCAAACAAGCAAACAAACAAACAAACAATCAAACAATCAAACCAAGACACAAACTCAAGCGAAATGCCGTCAATCACAATAGAGTACTCCGAAGAGAAGCAACAGTGCTGAGAGACACATTTCAGCACTCGGTAGCAACTCATGCTGTGTGCATTTAAACAGCTACGTATCTGAAGAAGGAGATGCCATCAGTCTCGTGGGACCAATTCGGATTGCTCTGCCTGTGGCCACGTACCACCGTCTCAGTGTGTCAAGGACCGCACGACCTTTGGCAGAGACAATTATGTGACCGCACACGGCAACCGATCGCACTCCAACAAGGAATGCCAGCATCTGGCTTCGAACCCGCAAATCCTATGCTACACACACACACGTGGTCATACATGTTTGAGGAGTCAAACATGAAGGAGACCACTAGCCATGGAGTGAGAGCGGAATCCACGTTTTGCATCAGTCATCATATTTCAACCCGCAGGCGGGCCCACACCCAAGTGGAAAAGTCAGCTTATTCGGCGGCCTTGCTCAGTGAATCGCGTTTTTTGTCCTATAGGTTGGTGGACAAATAGAATTCTTAGAAGGCGGCCTACGTCCACAGCCTGTTCATACTCCTTGGCTTCCCTGGTTTCCAACCCACTTTATCTGGGTATATACCCCGAGGGGTATGAACATCAGCAGGACTGTTGGGTTCATTTGCTCATAGGGTACGTAAAAGGGCCTGAAATACAAGGACAGCTGGATTTCGTCCACGGCCCCTAAAAGGACACCTGAATTTGTTTGGGGGGGTAAGCTGACACTCAAAAGACATGCCCAAGATACCATATGTCTTCTTAGGTGGTCTGGGGGTTAGCTCAATCCTTAGCAATCCTGGTTCCAAGGGTTTAAGTGGGGCTTGGCCACCAAAGTAGCCCAACTTCCTCCAATTGTACGCCTCACCTTTGAGGCCGAGTCGCGCCATGACGGCAGGCAGGGCCGAACAATATCCCCTCCCAACACGCTGATTCCAAACGCATTTGGGTAAAGCTGCTTCAGACTGGCAGACCAATGTGCCCTTTCTTGTATTTGTGGTAGCTAGCCTGTATGACCGGCATTTGTGCATCTTACAGTAACTCTATCCAGAACTGCATGCCCCTCATCCCGGGCAGAGCCCTTCTCTTCTGATGTGAGATGCAATGTTGCAAACAACTCCCAGCAGAACACAACTACAGCTCTGGAAGTTCTCAGCCAATAAGTTTTGGCCGTGTGCAGCTTTTTTGCAGAGGTGAACTATCAGCTCTCCTCTAAATGTGACGACAGACAAACATGCTTCTTTTGTCACCGGCATTTGCAGTTGCTGACCAACATGAGGTTCCCAGAAGTTCTCTCATCCACAATGCTTCCTTCCGAGCATTGTCCCTTTTTTCTCCCCAAAATCGGGATCCATCAGCTGGGTTTCCGGATCCGGTTTTCACGGCTCCAGATCCCGTGGCTCCGACCTCCCGAAACCCCGAGAGCCCGAACCGCAGGCTCCAGGGCCTGCCGGAGCTGGATCTGTTGATCCGCGCCGCGGAGCTGCTGGGCCCGGCGGCCCAAGCAAAGCCTCGGGTGTTTTTTCCCCCCGGGCGAGCGGCGAGAGCTTCCGAGCCGCTTGATTTGTCGGGAAAAGTGGCCAACGGCTGGGGGAAGGAGCGGCCGAATTTTAGCGAAATGTTCCGAACTACCAGGTTGACATATTTTTGTTTGATCACTCTTACCAACCTTTAACTTCAAAACAACGAGCAATTATACGGCCAGCTGGCTGTTCAGTTTTTTGGCAACGGTCGAAAACCTCTTGAGCCAAATCCAGACACGGCCGAGTGCAGCCCACGTTCACTGAGACGGTCAAGTTACGCTTCATCTAGCTTCATTCATAACCCGAGCCTGATTTGCAGTATCCATTGATTGTCGGTCTATATATTATATAAAATTGAACAAACTTGTAGCATCAGCTCTTTGCAAAGTCGATGTGTCAGCCGCAACACATCTTTCATGTCCCAACATATCACAAGCACAAACATTGTACGCACGCAAAGCACGCTATGCAATTGTTGTCTGATTTATATGCTGTGGCGAGCCCAAACTGTGCCTGCTTCTTATGTAAAGGCCCGGCCTGTCTAGAACTTTGGTTTTGCCACTGTACACAGATCTTAAGCCTCTAGACGTGAGCGGAGCAACTCGTCACCGTTCCAAAGTTAGATGTGCAGCTGAAACCGGGCGCCACCAACAGAGGAAAATCCAATGGCAACGCCACAACAAAACTTTGCGGGGGGGAGTTGTTTCATCCCAAGTTCTGATAGTCCTAAGACAGTGCATCGGTTTTCGCGGATTTCTAACCCCGTGGGTTTCCCTTTCACCCCCCTTGTTCGGGAGTTGATGCGGCAAACCCTGGCTAGATGCATCTCTGCCATTTTGAGCCCGGGAATTGGTCCACAGGATTGGTCGCACCTGGGCTATGAGGTGGACTTGGTGGACCTGATCAGCTGAGTTTTCCACCGATGGCCCTTCCGAGCGTCCGAGGCCGGGGCAGCTTGCGGAAAGCGGAGCTGGTGCGTGCTCTGGCCGCGGCGCTGTGGCCCGCGCCGGGGGCTTGGAGAGAGGGGTCGGGGCGCTCGGCCATCTCGCCCGCAAAAGACGAGGCAGGCCAAATAGCAGGGCTTCATGGCCGAAGCATGGTCTTCTGCAAAAGAGACTGGTGGTTTGCCCAAGTTGTTTGGCGAGTTTGACGATTGACGCCCACAAAAGCGCGCTCAATGAGTGTGACGGAGTGACAGTGTTACTTGTATCTGCTGGCCATGGTTGGAGTCATGTGGCCGATAGTACTGTTCCAGTGGTGCTCCTCTTTTCGTCTACAATGAAGACCCTCGAAAGAGTCACATGCCCACTGATGGGTTGTCTCGAAATGGAACTACCCCAGCATACCCTGGCAGCGCTCACAGTTTCCTTGCTGATCCTGGCTCCTTTTGTCAGCCAGCACCGTTTTCCAATCAGGGTACTCAAAGTGTTTGTGTCTTGAATGTTCGTCTCCTCGTCAAACTCGTCGACCTGTTTCTCTGTTTCTTTGTCCGTTTGCTGGTCTGCCTGCCTGCCTGCCTGCCTGTCTGGCTGTCTGTCCGTCTGTCTCAATGTGTGCTTGCCTGCCCGCCTGCATGCTTGCTCGCTCGCTCGCTTGCTGGCTTGATCGCTCGGGTTGTTGCTTTGCTTGGGTTTGGTTGTTGGTTGGTTTGCTTGATTCCATGTGTGCTTGCTCACGGCAGTGGTGTTGCGCTTCTAGCTCCGTGCCCCCTTGCTCCCAAGCTGTGGCTGCTTTATTCCAAGGTCGACACAACCCAGGATTTCCCTTTCCAAGGGAGTCAACCATCGGGCTCATGCCAATCTTGGGGCCAAAGGGAGCGCTGCTTTGTTGACATCATGTTCTGTTGGTGTCCGTTGTGTTCCAGGCAGGCATTTAGAGCTCGCCGTCGCCATTGGCTCTGCAGTTGTCCTTGCTGTTGCGCTTGTAAATGTGACACAACCTGGCTAGAGGAGGGGCAAGGGACAGCCCCTGCAGCCACTTCTTTGGTTCTCCACATATTGCCAGTAGGCCCCTTTGATACCAGGTGTTTTTCGCGACTTTTGAAAGACACAGTTGCCCAGACCTGTTGCAGGTTGGAGCTGGGGGCAAGCTTCTCTGAAGAACAGGCCGGAGACATACGTTGGGTGACATCTGCTTGGGATTGCCGCGTGTGCACCCCTGCAGCGTTCCAAAGCAAAGACCTCTCTTTTTCTTTCTGTCTCTCTTTCTCTTTAAGCATATGCTTCTATCTCTCTCTCTCTCTCTCTCTCTCCATCGCTCACTCCACTCCACTCCGCTCCGCTCCGCTCCACTCCACTCCACTTCACTCCACTCCACCTCACTCACTCGCTCTTTTTGGAATGTTGCCAACGTGCTGTAAGCGAAAATGTTCAGCAAAGGCTGTTCGGGGGGCGGGGGGGTCTGGGGGGCAGCCTCCCTCAGGACGCCAGGTGCAAAGGAGGGGACATGTCAGGACCACATGCCTGACATCCCTGCAATTAGTTACCGTGGGTCCCTTATCAACAAAGCTTGCGCAAGAGAGCAGGCGTGTTTTGACTCGAGCCAGCTTCAGAGTCTCATTGGCAAGGGGGAGCAGTCCTACAGAAAAAAAACATACCATGTGCGCCCACTTCCCTGCTGAGACACATGTTTCGCTCCTGCATGCGCACCAGTAAAACACCGCCTGAAGGACAGATTCTCCCCCCCAGAAACGACCCCTTGGCGCACTTCTTTCTGTTCCTTGCATGTTCGTGCCAGGCGGCGGCCTTCATTAAGTGTTGCCTCCAGCTGGATTACTTAGTGCCGAAGCTCATGGACAACGCACCTCAGCGTTTCACATGAGCAGGGGTTGGGGTTGCGGTATGACGAAGTACATATTTGGGAGATGGTCGGTGCCAAATTAACCATAGCTGTTGATGTTCCCTGAAGGAAACTAGTAGAAGGCTTATGTTGTCCGATGCGCTTTTCATGAGAGGCACGGTTTTAAAAAAGAAACAAGCATGTGCTAGTTGTACCTGCGACTTGGATATGCTAACTGATTGTTGCGAACACGCAAAGGAGTGCGCATCAGCCAGTTCATTGAGCTTGCGCTCGTGGTTAGGATGTGAGGGGAACTATGACTATCTGTGAGGTCAAGGTTTTTACTGGCACATTCGATGGGTAAGGATTGATGGAATCGGCGGCGAGAAAACTCTCCCGGAACAGCTGCCACGTCGCAGCTTTGGTGCTGAAAAACACCAGATGTATTTCCAATAGCTGCCGGACTTCCAGGAGAACATACCCTTGGATGGCTTCAAGATGGTTCGTGCAAAAAGGCCGCTTCGGTGGTCAAAGCGACGGCAGAGTGTGGCGCCACAGCAAGGAAGATCACGTGGGAGGGGAGCCTGTGCAGATGCACAATATTGTTACCCGCTACTTCCCTCCTTCCACTCTCTTTCCTCAATGCCGCACGGCCTCCATATTGTAGTTGGACACATCAGCGCCCGTCAGTCAGAAGCTGAGGCAGGTTGGCAAGTGCTCGCTAGGTAATTGTTCTGAATGCTACTTACACACGCCTAGCCCCTACTTCTCAGCAGCAAGCTTGTAGCAGGCCTTCATGCAATCGTTCCTTGGCCTTCATGCAATCGTTCCTTGTGAAAGGGCGAGCCGGCGCTGGTTCTCTTGTCCTTTCTTGCTCGGGTATCTTGTTCATATGTTGCACCTCCTTAGTTCTTTTCCAGGGCCCTAAACGCTGGAATGCATGCGCCGAATATCAATGACTCAGGAGGTGCTTCTGGCAGAAGATGGGCCTGAAGGACATACCTGCGTTGTGAGAACAGAGATGGAAAGAGACAGAGAGAGATATACGTTAAGCCATGTGGATTCAACATGATGTCTCAGTTAGGCAGGTTTTATTTGCCTTGCCTTTCTGGGCTCCACAGGCCCCTTGAGTCATTCCCAACAGGAGGCAACCGCCATGGATAAAACAGTCAGAGCCTGATTGACTTGGAGGTTGCACGCGAGCAGCAGCACTAGCTGTCCTGGAAGCATCCGGGACCCACACACAACACAGTAAGTATCGAAGCAAGGAACACTTGCACGTATGGCACAAATCGATGATGGACTTCGCTCCATGCAGAGATACGAGATACACAGGAGACTATGAAACATTCGAAGCATGCAAGTTCCAATTCAACTCACATTTGGGCTTGACGGATCAACACCACAGCAGCACAATCAACAGAGCAGGAGCAGATGCTCTATTACAGCAAGGAGCAACAACACTGGGAAAAGGAGATCACCGCTGGATCAACCTATCACGAGACCTCAGGACCCATGCTGACCAACTGCTTTGCCGGGCCCGCAGCAACATACACAACAGCCAACGGACTGGAAACGTGGAGACAAGTGGTCAGAAGGTTTTCGGCCCCACTGGGAACCAGGAGCATTGTTACTAACCAAGCTCCTCAAGCCAACATTCAACAACTTGAGTGTTTGAATTTGGATGCTATGAGCGGCACAACAGAACAGCTCTCCCCGACAACGTGAAGATATTCATCCTTCTTTCCTCAGGAGCACCCTTGCGGAATATCACCAGCCGGCATGCGACAGCAGGCTACAAGCAACACAACAACAACGACAACAACGACCACGACAACAGCGACCACGACAACAACGACAGCAGCAGCAGCAGCAGCAGCAGCAGCAGCAGCAGCAGGCGGCAAGCAACAATCAAGGACCAGCTCCTATGGACATAGGAGGAACCTGGTGGAAGGGCAAACACAGCAAAGGAAAGGGAAGCGCAACAAAGGCAAAGGATGTAGCAAGTCGAGCAGCAGCAAAGGCTACGGACACCGGCAACACAAAGGAAAAGGACGGAGCAAATGAAAGGACAAAGGCGAACAAGAACTGATCGGCCAAGGCAACCCGTTCAAAGGAGGAGGAAAGCAATAACACGGGCACAACAATGGAAAAGGCAAATGTGGGTGCAACAAAGCAAAGGGCAAGCATGCCAGCAAGTGTTGCTTACCGATGTGGTCAACCAGGCCGACATGACAAAACAATGCCGAGTAGCAATCTACAAGTACGACCACCTGAGAAGCAGAGGCAACCCATCCAAAAAGCAACTGGTACAACGAGCAACATCAATACGACAACTACTGGAGGAATGTAGACCAAACACGCCAACAGCAACTGCAACTGGCACTGCTTGCTGATCACTTCAGATGTGTGTTGCCAGGGGTGTAGCTTGCTTGCAACACGTGTGGAAATATATATATATATATATATTAAAACAAAAACACTTATTCCATTGAACGCATGCGTTGGGCCTCGCACTTTTCACAGGAGCAGCCGAGGAGCTTGCAGCAGGCTGGAGGGTTGCTGGCCAAGTGCCATTCGGTTGATGTTCAATAAGCTGAACCATAAACTTAAACTAGGACAAATCAGTGAATCACAGGGTTTTCCCTGTTCATTCCTCGGAATATTTAGAGAATCAACCGTGCACCAGCTGAATTCTGTGTAATTCCCTGAGTGTTTGGGGGCAATTGGGCACCTCTCTTGGATGTTCGACAAGGATGGCTTTAGCACAGGTCAGCTGATGGCAGTGCTGCTCATTCCATTCCTCAGCGTGGATGCTGTCTCCTTGCAACCCCTCGCAGCTCGTTGGAAGGGGGGAAGGTGTTATTGGCGACCTGCCAATGCCACACTCACGTGGCTAGGAATTTTGAGAGTTGGAACCCTCTAAAAAGTGGGAGGACATTAGTCGGCACCCGGCGAATTTGGATAAGAGCTCCACGGGGTCACTAGTTGCAGTATACCCACGAACAGGCACTAAAGGGAAGGAACCTTTTCCGTGACGCCGAGGGCCATGTCCATGACTAATTTGGTACTTTTAGGGGATTCGATCTAGATGGGCTCAGTGGACCGAAGACGTGCCTTGCTCCCAGTGTATCGATTACATCAATAGGGTATGACTGGTTGCAACTGGTTACGTTGCCCCAAGGCAACCTTTTATCCCGATTTGCCCCCAGAAGATTCACTCTGGGTCCTTTGGATACGTGCTGGCCCTAAAATCCAGGCCTGGTTTTCCTGTAGCCTGGTAAACAGGCTGGACTGGGTTGAGCATCCAAGTGGTTCCTTGGCAAAGAACGTGTCATGCATTGATGAGATCAAGAGGCCTTCAAGTAAGCACAGTGTAGCGTAGCCGAGAGAAACGTTGGAAAGAGCTAAGCGGAATCGTGAAGTGAAAAGTAGTTTCATTCACATGGATGTTCCCCAAAGCGGGCACCCTTGCGAGAACTTTCAAGAGAAGCAACATGCACACGCTGAACCCACCACAGCAAGAGGCTCTTCTTTTGGAAATTGCCCATGTTTTCTGCCTGAATTGTCCCTTGCTTGCCTCCAGTTGCTGCAGGTGGGTGTGTCATTTCGTTTTGAAGGGCTTCACACGGCTTGTTGGGTTTTCCTTGCGCAAGTCTCCAAGCTTCTGTGCCTAGTGGCCAGGTGTCAACATGAACACTAAAGACATTATCTTTATTGTATGTCCTTGCTTGTTTCGCTTTACAACGGTCCTTGGCAAATAGCCACACAAAACGCGAGACTTTGTGTTGGCGCTGACCTTCCCCAGGCTTCCTAAACGGGATCACAAATTCACCCAGATTGCTTCTGGGTTTGTCTCAAAATGGTGGACCCCCCCAAAAAGGAAAAAGATGCTTTTCCTTTTTCCTTTTCCTTTAAAGCCACGAAAATGGTGGACCCTACGTCGACATGTCCTCGGATTCCTCGTTTTGGCGCATCTCAGGTGCCTCCGAGTGAGCTGCAGCGCCTGTGCTCGGCGCTGCTGCGGTCGGAAGATGCCTGGCTGGCGCGGGCCGCCGCCGCCGCGGCCGCGGAGACGGACTTGGAGGAGGCGGGAGCTTTCCCTTTTTCTCCGCTTTTAGCGAGGGAAAACCCTCCTTTTCCCAGTTGCCCCGGTTTCAAGCAGACAAGCAAACACATAGAAAAGTAGACAAAGAGACAAAGAGACAAACACAGAGACAAACACAGAGACAAACACAGAGACAGAGACAGAGACAGAGACGGAGGCAGACAGACAAACAGACAGACAGACAGACTGACAGGCAAACACAATAACCCACAAACAGGCAACCCCAACAACTCCCATTCTATGGGCATTTGTGCCTTGCATTCCCGCATTCCCAGCCAATGGGCACGCTCGCGCGCAGGCTGAGCTGGATCGGCTGGCCATGGGCCTTCCACCGCTGCCCCTGAGAGCAGTGGTTTTGCTGACCTGCGCAGCTACTGGGACTGTTCCCGCTTTGGATTTTGGCACACCGTGCATCAGAGCCGTGAGTAAAGGGTATTAGCAGAGTGCATGTGTAGCGCTTCCCAGCCTTTTGTGACGGGTGAAAGGAGTTGCTGCAGGCACCTGGAGTTTACTTTTGGGCAAACGTGGCATTTGGGACAAAGATGCTTGTGTGCCATTTACCATTCGCCGGCAGGGAGCAGGGAGAGAGATCCCCAGCAGTAAACAAATGGCGCTGACAAATGCCCGGCAATGAGTTTAGTAATTTGAGCGCTAAGATCAAGCCCGCAGATCTCGCAATCACCCAGCAAATTATGTAATTACCCTTGGAGTTGTGAAACCTGTTTTGGGAGCCGCAATGACACCTTACTCCCCTGCAAATTAACATGATAAGGGGTTTCACGAGGCCAATGCACTGTTCAGATGTGAGGTTGTCAAAAACAACGTTTGCTTTGGACACTGATTTCATGTTGACCTGCCTGTATCCCTAACTGATCGCAACTGGCGTTTGTTCAACGAATCACTGAAGCATGTGAAAAGGGTTGATGGGTCGTTTGAGTTTGACGCTTCATGAATGGCCGGCTCATCAAGTGGCGTTCGCCAAATCAGGCTACTTGCTTCGTAGGCAAACTGCCCTCCGACCCGAAGCCGCTTGGGTTTGTTGGCCATGACTTGTTTCTCAACTACGGGCAAGACAATGCTGGCACAAAAGAGATGTTGATGGGCTCATGGCCAGCTTTATGCTGATGTTTGGTCCCTTCAGACTCCATGGCTTTTGGGAAAGCTAGTTTTCGATCTGAATGAGCTCAGAGTGGCCATTTTTCGTCAGTCCCGGGGGCAGAAATCGGGTCTTGTGGAAACCTTCCCAAGGTTGGCCGTTGCGCCCAGAAGGCCGCAGGCTTCGTCTGCGGTTTCGCCGGCGAAAAGCTGGCCTTGGCCTGGGGGCCGCTGCTGGCGGAGACGCGGCGCAGTACCTGGGGCTGATTGTCACCGCTTGTTGGGGCAGGGTGTGTTTTGTTTGAAGCCGCTTCGGCTTTATTGAACCGGACACCAAAAGGCACCCCCCGTTTTTTGGTGGGGGGGCGGGGCTTCCCTATTGTTCATCTTTGAGCGTGAATTACAAGATTACCACCACAATTGGGTATCCTGGAGGTATCCTTGCTGTTCCCAGGGCCACTGGGCAAGAAAGCTGAAATCGCAGTTGTACGGGTTCTTCGGTTGGGTGAAGTAGACAAGACAATTCGACCATGTCGTTTGCGTGATCCTCTTCACCAACGAGAAGAGAATTGCGGGATTGGATTTCACCCTGGCGTCGCCGGTTTGTTCTTGGGCCCATTTGGCAAGATGTTGGCCTTCTTAGCCATGCCCCTTGTGAGCACAAGGGAAATGATGAACAGAGGGGAGGGTAGGCGTAATCCTATTTTTTCCATTTGAGGGCTGGGGATGAGTTTTCCTTTTTCGTGCGAGGCATGGCTGAGCCCAACGCGCAGGAGGCCGGTTTTGCCTGAATTCACCTCGCTCATGGGCCTTTTTTTGGGAAGGATAAGGACGGTGTTTTACGGGAGCCAAAGTGAAGCATCCATGTGGCACGGTCACTAGGATTTCAGATTATACATATTGATATGTATACAAATCATACACACAAATGTAAAGAGATCCGTGTGGCGAAAATAGCAAGCATATATGTAGGAGTAGGAGTGTATGTGCTGCCACCAGTTTCAGGATGTCTTATTGATCGTTCTCATTGTGTCAGGTCCTGACTCTTGCATGTTCCCTTGAGGTGTGCAAGCGATTGAGGTCTATCATGCGATAGTCAATGTGGTTACTCTGAACATAGATGTCAAAATTATTGTTCACAATGGTTGGAATTGTGGAATGAGGGCACGTCAGTGAAGCTGCAATTGTGTTTTTGTGCTTCTCGCTTGGACTTAGCTTGAACCCTGGAACCCCGTTGTTGATGTGTTTTGACACTTTGGTGGCAAGTCCCATTTGCCTGTCTTCACGTTTGCCCATGCGGCCAGCTGTCTTTGTAGCCTTGAAGCCAGGGAACGACTTAGTTTTCTGCCAAGCATTGGCTCTCGATAGCACTGGCTCGGTGGTGGGACGGTTGGGTAGTCGGCTGATGGCTTGGTCGGTCGGTCAGTCGGTTGTTCGCGCTCGCTTGCTCGATTCGTTGGTTAGGGCTCGTTGTTTGGTTGGTGGGTGGGGAGATTGGTTCATCGGTTGGTATTGGTTGATCGGTTGGTTCATTTGGGTGGGGCGGTCAGGAACAGGGGAAGCAGGGCTTGGGGCCCGTTTTGCCGAGTGCCAGAAAGAAACAACAAGTGAGCTGTCGCTGTTCAGCGGTCAACGACAGCACTAAAACTGGGATTGGTGATCTCAAAGTGGTCAAAAAGCAAGGGGAGTTGATTGGCGTGGACATTGCAGGGCGCCTGCCCTTGTGTCACGTTTGCCTTATTTTTCCTTTCAGAGGTCCAAGAAGTGAACCTTAGCATGGCGATGAGTCTTAAGACCATGTCAATCCTGGCAAAGAGCCTTGGGCCCCATCGTAGAAACCCAGAATCCTGAGATGTACTCATGTTCTTGGACATGTTTGGTATCATGTCGCATATCAAGGCTCACTAAAGAAGGGTCAGAATCACAACATGCGGGAAGCAAAACCTGAGGGTCAGAATCGAAATCTAGTTTCGAATCTGCTTGGTTGCCGTTTTAAAGACAGCAGCAAGAAGGGGATCATTTTCGAAGACGCTCTCCCTCCAAGAATGAAACACGGTGGATGCTGGGCACATGGTTTGTTTGACAGTTTCTGGGGTTTTTCAGAATGAGACACTCGTGTTTCCCATTTCAAGAGACCTGCAACTTGAAAATGCCGAGACTGGATAGGGCCTGCCTTTCAGGAATGGCGGCTGCTGAAGAACCTTCTGCCCAACGGCCGCAATCAGCTGATCACAGCCTTGGGCTGGTTGCTCGCCTCAGCGGAGGAGGCGGAGGACCACGTCCGGTGCCCGACCTCAGGGTCTGGGCCTTGCCATGCACAGCTTGGGTTTCTTGTCAGTTCAACTGGACTTTTTCCAGTACGCCCCCCAAAAGCTGCTTTTTCCCATGTCCAAAAACCCCAAGCACTGTGCAAAAGCAGTTGGGGGGGTGCTGGTTGGGTTGTGAGTCTGTTTCCTTTTGATGATGTCAGGGGGCATAGGACCCCTGCGATGAAATCTGCGGGTTGGTTTGGCAAGCATCAATCGTCAAGTGACCAAGTGGGCCCTTCCCATTTGGTTATTCCACCATTGGACAGGCAGCTGCTTGAAGACGTCCTTTGTTTGCACAGACAAGCAAGAAGGAAGATGCGACTGCCACAGCCCGTGAAGTTACACAGTGCTTGTTTGTGGGGGGGGGGGGGGGGGTAAGTACATGGGTCCCTGATGCACAAGACCTTGTTGCTTGTTTATAAGCGGTGCCTGAAGCATGCAGGAATTGGGAGGGTCGTGTGCTGCGAAACAGGAAGCTGTCAGATCCAGGAAGAGTGATTTGACCGCAAGTCTGGTCACTTGTCTATGCAACCTGCAAGTAAAGACCTTTAACAGGAACTCTCCGGAGGAGGCTGCGGGATGGGGAGACAGTTAGAGGCTATTCTACAACTACCTCAAGGCAATCAACGTCGAGCTGGATTTATACTTCTCTCTGAAGTGGGATCAACAAGTGAATCTGGTAGGGTGGATTTCGCAAGGTTTCCATGGAACAAGGTGGGGGCAGCCATGCAACAAGTTTGTGTCCGGTCGACGAAGCCTCGCAGCCAAGTGGGCAGGATGCCAAGGACATTCTCCTGAGAGCCATTGAGCTGGAATGCGCCTCTCCAGAGATGGAGGAGAAACCGCGGGGGACGTGGAAACGCGTCGACCTGGTTACGCGTCCTTGGATCTGTTCGGGCTGAAAAGGGAAACTCTCCAGTCCACGTAGTTCCCTTTTCAAGAAAAGTGGTCCAAACCAGAACCCCCCAGCGAGGTTCCATGTTTGTGGATGGGAGGGTAAATGGAAAAGAACCTCCATTCAAGGGCTTCCTGTGTAGAGACTGTTGTGGACCATTGTGAGGATCGATGCTAGGAGCTTTTCTGGGGACGCCGGTCATGTACCTCCTTGAAAGGGGCGGCCCTAAAAATGTGTTACCGTATGCTCTATGTTGTCCGTCGCCTATCTTGCGTCTAAGGCATGTTGAGAAAGGATACTTCAGGCTTGAGGGCCTAGTCTTGGACAACGTGCAAGCAAACGAGCAGCCTAATTGGTGGGCAGGATGCGGCAATGTTTCTTCAAACAACTGGACCCCGGTCCTCCATTCCAATCAAAGCAGGCTGTTTCAACTGGGGTGTGAACATGTCAAACAAATGGTTGACCCAACCCCGATTCAGGGGGTGCCATGTGTTTTGCATCAGGAGCAATCATGAGAAGTTCATTTTGAGAGTTGGACTCGGATGGCTCAACGGAAGCCAAGTGAAGTGCAAGGTAGCAGGCACTTGGCTGGCCGAGGTTGTTAGATGTTGTATGGCGTTACGTTAGGCAGGCAGTGAGGTCAGATGAGGTGAAAGGTAAATTAGGCAGTATGAGCTGTCCAGAACCCCCTAGACGGGTCAGTCAGGGAACCCTTACAGTAGGTCGTGTCCTTGTAGTTTCCCTTGAAACCAACCTCTGAAAGGACACCTTGAGAAAAAAAAACTCCTGTGCCTGCTGCCGTTTCTATATTTGGATTCCTACTGTGGGTTTGGCCGTGTGCATAGGCAACCCAGTTGAGAGAAGGTTGGGGTTGCTATCTCACGGCTACTTGCTTCAGGGCATCTTGGTGTGGAACATTTGGAACCGAAACAACCAGTACACTTTCTGCACACTCGTGGTTTTCCCAAAAACTATTCCTTCCACATTGCCCGAACTGAGGGCGGGATTTGTCCGGGATTTGCCAACTTCTGGAACCCAGTCCCGCGGACCCTCAACACGCCTGTTTGTTGGGTTTCCCATGGTCCACCCCAAAAGCAGGCCCAAGTTTCGACCACAGAAACCGGGCCTTGAGGTACCCAATTTTCCCCCTGTCCCTTCCTGCACGTGGTGGTTCCCACCAAACACATTTACCCAGCAAAACAGAAAGATGGCCCCCAGTGTAGGGTGGTCCACCCCACCAAAAGTCCAGCGCAAAGATTCTGGCTGGTTGCAGCATAGGACTGGCGCTGGCTGAGCAACTGCCTGCCCTCGCCCCTGTGGATGGCGCAACGCCTGGAGGACGGGAGTTCGACCCGACCGGCTGTTGGTGACAACAGTGAAACCAAAAGGACAAATCAAGAACAACATGCTTGGGGGCCCATTCTTTCAGACAGACCCAGTTTGACTCTTCCTTTTTTGAGGCGCTTGAAAGGAACTTGAACCCCTGAATTGGGGAGTTCCCACCTTAGAGACACGCCCATTTTGGACTCAGGTATACTTAACCCCACGGTTGGAGGGGTGGTTACTTGATGGAGAACCCGGGAATTAAGTCTTTGTGCACGGGGCAATAAAGCAGATGGAACCCTGTCCCACCTAATCACAGGCCCCGCGCAACAGCAGCTTCCATGAGTGAGAGAGGGAGAGATGGTGAGAGATTGTGCTTTCCTTGTTGATGCAAAGGTGGATGAACCTCCAGCCTTTGCAACCTGTGAAATCAGATGAGACGCCCACCCTACACCTCATTTTTGGAGGGAAGACGAGGGGACCTTGTGAACCAGTCATGGGCTTGAGAACAATTGTCCCATCCCTTAGTTGGGGAAGGCTGATATCCATAGCAAAGGTAGGGCGAGTTTTGACCGCACAAATATTGAGACTTCTCAAACACGGAGGTCCCTTTTAAAGATCGCAATGGTTGAAGCATTTGGATACGTTTCAAATACAAAGGAAACCAAAGGGAAACCGCAGGTAGGGTCGTAGGGTTTCCAATGGATACTCACACCTACTCCCCTACAAATTCACATGAAAGCCAAAAGGGCGGCCCGATTCCCAACAGGAGTTTCCTCCACAAATGGGTGTTTCTTTGGGGGGGTTCATGTTATTCTGTATGGGAGTATTTCGTGGGTTCCAGGCGTTTCCTCTACTCATGAGTGGGATTTTTGGGGTTCCATGGTAAGTATTCGCGGGTTCCACAAACTTTTCAGACGCCGCGGACCCGTTTCGGCCTTTCCAGGTTCTCCTGGGCCACGCCTTAGAGGCGGGGGCTTGTGAGAGAGCCGGTTATGGCATGGCGGCCGTTGGTTCCTTCGGCGTGGCTATAAATTTACAGGGGCTGTGGCTAAAAAGTCGCTCTTTCATTTAGAGCCCTCAGTTGAAAACAATGTGACGAGAACATCAAACCGCATTTTGAGTCTGGAGGGTTCCCAATTAAATTTACACCCACATTTTGGAAGCTGATTTCAAGCTGCTAGGGAAGCCGCCCCCGTTTTGCTGGGCAAGCCCTCGATTGAGAGCCAGATGCTGCGAGTTCTACGATGAGACTGTGGGTGATGGGTATTTTGTGTTTCAAGGGTACCTTTGTTCTCCGTGTTATTTAACTGGAGAACCTGCAGGACCCATTAACACACAAATGTTTGCTTTAGCTTTTGTGGCAAATAAGTGCGCGACGAGTTGCGGACAATTGTGCCCGAATAGCGTGAAATTGCGCTCGAGTTGCGGGTTTGTTTTCTCTCGAGCACTTCACCAAAGCAGCTAGGCAACCTCAAAAAGTGCTCGAACTGGATTTGAGCAGAATAAAGCGCTCGAATGCCAAAAACTGTCCGGAGCACTTTTTGTGTATCAAAGGGTCCTTTGGGAACGAGGAAATCACCCGGTTGCGAGGTTGCCCCATCAGGAGACATTATTACATGCAGTGCTCAGAGATCAGACAAATTTGGCGGAGTCTTGAAGCGGCAAAGAGCAACGCTTCAGCTGATTTTCATTTTTCATCATGCCGCCGCGACGTGTGCTGCTTGACTTGGGCAAATACAATGCAACTTGGAATATATAGATATACAAAAAGTACAGAGACAGACAGTACACTTGGAATCTGCCCGCCCAAAGCAAGCAACACGTTGAGGATCCCGCTGCTGGCTGTGGCATGCTCGCTCTCATCACCTTGTGTCTTGCCGACGTGAAGGCAGCTGCCACTTTGCCGCAAGCACCATGCCCTTAATGTCAACCCATTCGAAGCAGACCACCCCTGTCACACCCTTCTTGCCAAGTCAACAATCAATTCACATTGGTTTTGCGGCTTTGGTGGACAGCTGCAATCGTGCAACGTTGGGTTGGTGTATCCCCACCTAAGTTTCCCACATGTCTCCTTTGTAGCAAGAAGGGACATCATGTAGGAGGGGTCAACGTTTTAGTGTGTTTTGGGGTGGTGAGATGTGGGGATGGGACATATTGTAGGATACTCCTCAGAAATGGCCCTTCACCATTACCATATATATATATATATACATTATATATGTATCAAATATTTGTGGAGCCTAATACTAACTGGGCCCCGAGTTTTCTTTTCTCCTAGGTTTGGCGCGGCCCTTTTGCTGCGTGGTGCTCGGGTTTTGGCTCAGCCGGTCTGTCTCACAGTCCGTCGGTCGCCCCGGTCGGTCGGTCGGTCGGTCGGTCGTCCGGGTGGGTCGGTCGGTCGGTCGGTCTCTCAGTCGGTCGGTCGCCTCGGTCGGTCGGTCGGTCGGTCGGTCGGTCGGTCGGTCGGTGGATTGGTCGGTCGGTCAGTCGGTCCCTAAACCAGCCCTAAACCAGCCCTGAACCAACCCAAACCACCCTTATCCAACCCTAAGCGCCAACGTAAACCAACCCTAAATCAACCCTAAGCCAGTCTTAAACCAGCCCTAAACTACCCTAAGCCAACCGTACACCAACCCTAAACCAACCCTAAACTACCCTAAACCAAGCCTAAACCAACCCTAAGCCAACCCTAAACCAACCCTACAACAACCCCCTAAACCAGCCCTTAACCGACCCTAAACTACCCTAAACCAACCCTACGTCAACCCTAAATCAACCCTAAACCAGCCCTAAGTCAACCATAAACCAACCCCAAACCAACCCTAAACCAACCCTAAACCAACCCTGAACCAACCTGAAACCAACCCTAAACCAACCTAACCAACCCCAAACCAGCCCTACACCAGCCCTAAACCAACCCTAAACCAACCTAAATGAACCCTAACCAGTCCTAAACCAACCCTAAATCAACCCTAAGCCAGTCTTACACCAGCCCTTAATTACCCTAAGCCAACCGTACACCATCCCTAAACCAACCCTAAACCAACCCCAAACCAACCCTAAACCAACCCTAAACCAACCCTAAGTCAACCCGAAACCAACCCTAAACCAACCCTAAACCAACCTAACCAACCCCAAACCAGCCCTACACCAGGCCAAAACCAACCCTAAACCAACCTGAACCAACCTGAATCAACCCTAAACCAGTCCGAAACCAATCTAAATCAACCCTAAACCAGCCCTAAACTATCCCTAAGCCAACCCTAAACCAGCCCTAAACCAACCATAAACCAACCCCAAACCACCGTAAACTCACCCTAAACTCACCCTCCGTTTTTGAACAGGTGAACCCTCTGCCAACTTTGCTGCGTTTTGGAAACCCGCTTCTTCGAAAAGGTAAACCCTTTGCAGCTTTTCTGGGTCCGGACCACCGCCGAACCTAGGAAAAAGGCCGCCCGAACCTAGGAAACAAAATAGCCCTTCCGCCAATGTTAACTTTAGATTAATATGAATGACCGTACTCGTCAAGGGTGGTTCCTGTGAGGAAATGATTTGTTTAGGGGGTCCTAGTAGTAGCATCCTCTGGATTATATCCGAAGCTGACATTATGATTTCCCAGTTGGGCGAGTTCGCGGCAAGCCTAGGCTGTCATTGTGAGCAGCCACGCCGTTGCGGGCATCGCGATGAAGTGGCAGCGATCTGCAAGTCAGCCAGGCTGACGTTCAACGGGACGTTTGCGGTAGAGTTGGGATACATGGGTGTTTCTCCAAATTAGAGACCCCTCCAGGTCGTTGGTTCTTTTTGGTTTCCCTGTAGTTAAGACCATCCCAAAAAGGGTCCCTCTATTTTGAGGGTTGAGTACAGGTGAAAGCAAACAGTTAACCCCCCCCGTATCCCCCCCCTATCCCCCCCTCCCAAACGTCAAAATCTCAGTAAGACTCACCGAGTGTTGCTGAGCACTACTGAGCCCAGCAAGGATTTGGCATGTTGGGGGGGGGGGGGTTGCTTCAATTTTGCATAGCAAAGCTTTTTGGATTTGTTGAAGCTTGCCTGGGGCTCGAAGCGTCATTGCTTGCTGAGCCTAGATCGCCCATGTGCTGTGTTCTTGGGGGGTGATTGAGACGTCCTGGGTGCTACTGGGTGCTACTGAGTGCTACTGAGTGTGCTTACTTACTGAGCTGGGATTCCAGAAATGTGCTGTTTTGGGTTGTGATTGAGTTTTACTGCTACTGAGTGCTACTGAGTTACTGAGTGCTACTGAGTGCTTACTGAGTCGGGATTTCAAAAATGTGCTGTTTTAGGTTGTGATTGGGTGCTACTGAGTGTTACTGAGTGCTGCTGAGTGCTGCTGAGTGCTGCAGAGTGTTGCTGAGTGTTGCTGAGTGTTGCTGAGTGCTGCTGAGTGCTGCTGAGTGCTGCTGAGTGCTGCTGAGTGCTGCTGAGTGCTGCTGAGTGTCTTTTGACTACTGAGTGCTTTCTGAACGCTAGTGAGCGCTTGTTGATTGCTTCTGAGGCTTTTGAGGGCTACTAGGTCTACATCCGCTGATGTTCAATGAACAGGTGTTCAGTGTGCGGCGCAGAAAATGACAGCACACATAGGAATCATTGCGGTTCCAACTATTCAGCAAGACTCAGTAGCGCTCATGATCAATTTTGAGTGGTGGCCATGTCTCACTGAGAGTTGCTGAGCCTTGCTAACACTCGAAGCAAAAAACATGATTGAGCCTTACTAAGCTTTACTAAGCCTTGCTAAGGCCTACGAAGCCCTACTACGCCTACTAAGCCCAAGATTTCAAATGAATGTGTTTCTTCCTTTTTGGACCCAAAGCCACTCAAAATCACATTTGGGGGGATACAGAAGGGGGGTTAACTAACCTATGAGTAACCCGCATGTTGCATTTGACTGTTGAGTACAGGTGAAGGCAAACACTCGGAGCTGCGTTCTATGTTTCTTGAAGTGCAATCATGACATGGGTGTGATGTGTTTTCGTGTTGGCACCAGTATTGGGCGTTTAAACGTAAAGTCAAGACAAGCCAGAGATTTAGAAGTTGAGCCACACCATTGGAGCCAATGCCAAGCAATGAGACATTGGTGCATGCCAAAGACACTCCGGACGCTCGCTTCGGGGATAAATCAGTCCGAAAGTTCAAGCAAACTTAAAGTTGGAAGACAGGCCGAACCTTGCAAGGCGTATCTGACATTTGGAAAACACTGTGCTTGTTCCAAGGCAACCCTTTTTCCTCTCCTTGGGTTCCCCAAAGGCCCACAGGGACTCAAAATTGGGATTGCCCCAAGCCCCATGTTCCAGTTCAAGAAGTCCATAAAGAGACAGGAACACGCCCTCACTGTGAGAGATCTCAGCCCCGATTATACCTCTTGCTGTAATGCTCATGTGATTATGCGCTGATCAAGCACAAATGAAGCCAGCATGGCCTTTCAAAAAATGTTTCAGTGAATTTGTGCAGAGCCTGCGTGTTTGTGTGTGTGTGTATGATTGTTTTCTTGCTTCTCTTAGTCATAGTGTCTTTGTAGATGTGGCTTCGGAAAACTTGATTCAATGCACCTGAGCCGCGGACAATGTTCAGTATCATTTACTGTATGGCTATGGCTATGGAGTGGACAGATCAAAGATCTCACGCAGATGACACACACACAACTATGCACAAAGCGCCAATACCATTTGGAGGAAGGATACATATTTCCTGTGTGTGGCCCACACGCGATTATGATTTGCAAGAAAGCTTTGTGATTTGAGTGCTGCAGGCAGCAGTGCTGACCTTGATGTGGCCCCTGCGCACTGGTTCAAGCTGCAATGCTGATGAAATGGGGAAGCACGTTCAACTGTGAAACAATTTGGGTGTACTCTATTGGTCATGCGGCTTGCTAGAAGAGTGAAGGATATTGATGGGCATTGCAAATGGTTGTCTTTGGTCGATGGGCAACCGCATTCGGGGCTTGTACAAC